AGGAGGAAAGGAAAGGAAGGAAGGAGGGAAGGAGGAAGGGAAGGAAGGAAGGAAGGAAGGAAGGAAGGAAGGAAGGAAGGAAGGAAGGAAGGAAGGAAGGAAGGAAGGAAGGAAGGAAGGAAGGAAGGAAGGAAGGAAGGAAGGAAGGAAGGAAGAAAGGAAGGAAGGAAGAAAATCATAACTACATATTCAAGAATGAATTCAAAATGGATTAAATACTTACATATATAAGAAATGAAATTATAAGCTACACAAAAGAAAACTAAGATGGCACATTCCTAGGCATCGACCTCAGAGATGTATCTGAGGATGGAACTCCAATGGCAAGGGGGACAAAATCAAAAATAAATGAGACTACATCAAATTTATATGGTTTTGTATATCCAAAGAAACCACCACAAAAATAAAAATATCTTCTCCTATGGGCTAGAAGATAGTCACACATCCCATATATCCAACAAGGGATTAATTTCTAAAACACATAAGAACTCAACAACAAAAAAACAAGCACCACAATCAACAAATGGACAAAACCTAAATAAAACACTTCTCCAAAAATAAACAGATGACTTACAGGCAGATGAAAAAATGTACAACATCAATTACATAAGAGAAATGCAAATCAAAATCACAGTGAGATATCCCATTCCCCCTGGGAGAAGGACCTATTTCCAAAAAAAAAAAAAAAAAATGGAAACAACAAATGTTATGTAGGTTGTGGAGAAAAAGAATGCTCATCCACTGTTGAGAAATAAGATTTTGTGCAGAAATATAATTGCGTGGAAAACAGTATGGATATTTCTCCAAAAATACAAATGTTAACACTCTATGATCCAGCAATATCACTTCTAGGTATTTAACCAAAGAATGTTAAAACACTTATACAAAAAGATGTATATACTCCTATGTTCACAACAGCATTATCCACCACTCTACCTACTGGAGCTTTGATGTCTTGAGTGAACCATATTCATTATGTAATGTCATTAAGATTTTCAATTTTCATTTTTTATATAAAGAAAAATCTTACAAATGCAATTTTTTCTGGTCCAACCACTATGGAGAGCTGTGTGGAGATTCCTCAGTCTGCTAAAGATGGAGCTTCCATATGATCCAGCAATTCCACTCCTAGGTATTTACCCAAAGGACACAGAATCATTAATTCAAAAGGGCACCTGCACCCCTGTGTTTATAGCAGCACCATTTACAATAGGTAAGCTATGGAAATAACCCAAATACCCAAAAATAGATGACTGGATCAAGAAGATGTGGTACATATACAAAATGGGATATTACTCAGCAATCAAGAAAGATAAACTCATGCAATTTGCAGCAACTTGGAGGGAGCTGAAATGAATCATGCTCAGCGAAATAAGCCAGAAAGAAAAAGAAAAATACCGGATGGTCTCACTCATAGCAGGAATCTAGAAAACCTAAATACGGGACCAGGAAAAAGACTAATTATAATAAAGTAAAAATCAAAATCAACAAGCAACTATAAACCAGAGACACACTGGGCAGGGGGAGAGGGGAGGAGAAGGGAGTAGGATCAAAACAAATGGGGTGGGAATTGTATGGGAACTATAACCAAGATAAAAATGGATATATTGTGCAAAAATGAAAATGATGTAAAAATATATAAAATAAAAAAGAAATGCAGTTTTTGAGCAAGAACAATAAGAAATCTTTTTATTCTGTATAATGTTTCTAATATGTTTATAGTTATCAATTCTTAAACCAACAAGATTTTAAGTGATTTTTTTGATTCTTTTTCCCAAGCTTTCACTTTAAATAGCATAAAGACATCACTTTGTTTTCACTTTCGTCAGTTATGTAATATTTAATGAAATATATGTTCTTATGATTACCAAAAAATTTGACATAAAAGAAAGTATAAGGACAAGCAAGCTCCCTGACTTATGGTATGTATTTAACTGTCCAAGGAGGAGCAAAGTGCATGAAGAGCAATCTTTAGCCTTTCACATTCATCTTGTTCTAAGCACTATTATGTTTTGCAGAAGGAATCAAGAGCATCAGTTTAACTAGGCCTATGGATAATTCAAGGGATGCTAAGAGAGTCTTCACTCAATACAGTGTCACCTCACAGAACAATATAACCCAAATATGCATGAATCAGACCCTGAAAAATGCAATTGTCCCAGAAAGCTCTCTTAGGAGACTTTCTCTACAGAGGAGACAAAAAAAAAAAAAAAGAGCATGTACAATGACCATCTCCAATAATAGTTTCTAATACTAAAACAAGTATTGGAAGAAATGAAAATTATTCCTGAAACTGATTAGACTGAAGAGCACAAACAATTCAAACAGACCAAGCAGTAGCAAAAGTACCCTGCTGTGCTGAAAAGGATTTTCAGCTGTCATTTTTGTAGCATGAAGCTGATCTTATTACTATTTTATGTAATACTAAGGATTGCAGGTGTCACTATTATTCACTAAATACTGTTACCTTCACCTTGAAATGCAAAATGCTCTTCTCACAAGGTAGCATTTCGTGGTACAATAAGAGAAAAAAATTGATGTGAGGACTAAAAGAAAATTAGTCTATAAGAATGCCTCATGAAATGAGAATGAATTGTTTTAATAATAGTGGCAGATACCCGAGTGATCTAAATTCACAAAGCATATATGGATAATGATTCATCTTTAGTAGACCCTTAATTACTGCATTCATCCTAATGATTGGAACATGTTTCAGAAATGTAGAAAACAGGTGCAAAATAAAAGCTAGTATAAATTGTCACTTCATGTGAAAATAAACTGCACTAGTAATTATTATAAGTAATATCATGCAGTTTATATACTCTCAATAGCATAATCTAAATTTAAAATTTTAGAACAATAAATGTGATACTCTTCATTGTAAAAATTATTTTGATTGTGGGGAGGAGATAATAGAATTCATATCTAACTTTTGAATGGGGAAAGATGTGGATATTTAATTCAATTCACAGTAAATTCCTCTTTTAAGTTAGACTATTTTATTAATGTTTTAATTCAAATTTTAAATTATTTAATAGGTAATTCACATGATCAAAAATACAGTTTAAAAAGCTCTACAGCGAAGTCTCCATCTGCACATTCTCTTCTCAGTAACTTTTTATGATGAATATATAATTTTTTATTTGTTATTATTGAGTTGTATGAGTTCTGTGTATATCCTATGTCCTTATCCTTATCAAATAGATGGTTTGTAAATATTTCCTTCCATTAAAAAAGTTGCCTTTTCATTTGTTGTTTCTTTTGTAGATACTAGTTTAACTTCGTCCCACTTGTTAATTCTTGCTTTTGTTACTTGTGTTTTTAATGTCATATCCAAATCCAAGGAGACTTTTCCCTATGTTTTCTTCCAGAAGTTTTATGAGTTAAGTCTTATGTTTACATCCTTAATCCATATTGAATTAATTTTTGAAAGTAGTGTAAGATAGGGGTTCAATTTCATACTTTTACATGTGAATAACAAACATGTTGAAAAACATGTTTTTCAACATGTTTGTTAAAGTGACTGTCCTTTCCCCATAGTAAATTTATGGCTCCCTTGGATTTATTTCTGTGTTCTTGACTGTGTTCCACTGGTCTTTGTGTCTGCTTTTATGCCAATATCATGCTGTTTTAATTACTATAACTTTGTAATATAGTTTGAAATCAGTACGTGTGATGCCTCCAGCTTTGTTCTTTCTCAAGACCTTCTGCTTCTATAGAGTGCTCTGGCTCTGTGGAGTCTTTGTATTCAAACAAATTTTGCTCTTTTTTTATTTCTATGAAAAATACTGTCACAACTTTAGCAGGAATTGCATTGCTTTTTAGATCACTTTGGGTAGTATGGACATTTTAACAACATTATTTTATCATATTATTTATTACTTTTTTCCAAAGCTTTGGTTATTTCAACATTTTTCCTAAGAAAGAAGACAAAAATAAAAATATTTTAACCAAGAGCAAACCCCTCATCAAAAGGATTCATTGACTTTATACACCCCAGATTTTATTTTATTTTTTTTTTTTTTATAGAGGCATGTTTGTTTGTTTATTTATTTGTTTGTTTGTTTTTGTTTATACATGCACTGGGTACAGTCAGAAGCGCGGGAGGGTGAGAGAATTCACCAGAGCCAGAGCGGGGAGCAGAGCAGGCAGAAGGACCGAAGTACACTGCTGAGGGGAGCAGCGGGCGGCAGGAGAGGTCTGCGCACCATGTGGGACCCTCCTCCGGTGGCTGGGGAGCAGCCGGGGATCGAACCGGCGCCGCAGAGGCTGCGGGCAGCTTCGCAACCCAGCGCTCAACCGCTGCGCCACCGGGGAGGCCCCCAATACACCCCAGATTTTAAAAGACAATCACTATGATGAATAAGGAGAAGATAATAATTTATATTTGACAATTAATTATAATTTTATCTTCCGAGTATATCCTTAGTCTTCTTTCACATTCTTGTATAAAGAGCTAGTTATAATTGTGAATAATGACTACAGACTTTTGCAAAATTTTCCTGAGTTAAGAAAATAATTTCACTGCTTCCAAGTAAAATTTTTATTGTTAGTCCTCTTAAATATGATAATCATTTAGAAATTTTAACACTTCAGTATAACTGTTCTTCATGGTGCATAAGACAATATATGTCTTCACAGTTGACGTTTTAAACAATCAGTCGTCCCAAGAGGCATCCAAGAAAGATTATCTGCACATTTTCCTGATTTACTGTGGCATAACTCATAAGATCATCTGAGATTTTATTGTTTAAAGTCACTATGGAAACTTTCCTAAGCAGTTGCATTTAATCTAATTAATTAAAGATAAAAAACCATATGAGAAAAATTTTCATGTTAATAGGCATAATGGAAGAAACAATTGTTGTATCTAAAACAATAGAAACACTTCAACAGGGCCTACATATGTAGGCCCTTTTACTTGACTAAATTATAAATTTTTCCTTTTTTTTTTTTTTTTCCTTTTACTTGACTAAATTATAAATTATTTGACCTAATAGGAACTATTTGGAGCTTAACACTATGGGACCTGCACAAGCCAGGACACTTCATGATCAAATAACAGAAAAATGTAAGTAAGACCAAAAGCTACATCTCTTGCTGAATGCAAGAGTTCAAATATTATCATCACAACTCTATTCTGTTACCTTCTTGATTCCAGTTCTGCTTGTTTCTGCCTTACTTCAAATCAGAATTTGACTATGTGGCAGCAAAATGGCTGCAGGTATCCCCAAAACTTACAAATTATTAAAGTTATAAATTTGAAGGACTCAATCTGCCCAGTTTGAGTTACATGCCCATCTCTATATTAACCATTGAGGTCAGCAGGTTCACCTCTGGTAGACCATGTAAATACACTAAAAAGGATTAGATATAGCAAGCCTAATTAGAAATAGCAAGCCTAATTGTTATGAAATGAAAGAAGAGGTGGCTTCCTAAAAGAGATATGTTGAAGAAATTTATCTTGTTTTTTTCTTCTTACTTACATCTGATGCTAAAATGTTGAATCCAGTGAAATGAACTTTAAAAGTTCTGAAAAGGGTCTCTTGAAGCCTCATATTAGAATCACATATTAAATCTGAGTTAAGTTGGAAAACCATCATCTGGTTTTTATCCTGAGAAACCTAAAACACTTCAGACTTTCTAGTGGCATCTGTTTACTCCCTCTGATCAATTTAGGAAGACCTTCTGCTTTTATAGGCAGAAATAAGTTTTACAAGTTGGCACCCTTAAGCCAGATTTCAAGGAAAAGAACATATCCAAGCTTGTGAGATCAAAATGTTACCAGAGGTGGCCTAGGGGTGAAGTCTCATTTGCAATATATTTAGGTTGCTTATGTTTGATTGCTTGTTAAATCATACTGGGAATTCAGCCAATTCCTTTTGATTTTTACAACCAGAATTCTGTCTTTAACTTATGATGGATGATAAATAAATACTAATGACTACTCTGTTACAATTTTCCCTGTCATTTAACTCATCCAAGGCCTACAGTTTTCCTACAGCTGAAGATTTTTAAAACCCTAATGTTCATATTTAATGTCTTTTAAGTCAGAGATACCTTCTCTCCAATCCATGAATACATGCAAAAAAAGCTGAAGAGCACAAGGGACTATGGTGATGGTGCATGGGTGAAATGGTGGTGGGAATTTTATTATATTGCCACCTATCATAATATCACTGCCAATTTATTTCTTTTTAAATTTCCTTCATTTTTACAAGCTACACAAGCATTGTTGACATTTCTTATTTAGAACACATCAATAATATTAGAGGCCAGGGTACACATCTTTTTTCTGTCAGCTTGAAGTGAAATGTTGTACCATTTGGAGTATTAATGGGCAGCTTGTCAGATATTCAAATAATAGTGGAAATATTTATCAATTAGTATGCATTGAAACAAATAGGCAAATCCCTGAACATCTAAAGTAAATAAAAGGGAAAATTTTTTTCAGATTATGTCTTAAATTCCTAATGAAAAGGAAAAAATCAGTAAATTATGTGGCCAGTGCTGAACAGAATATGCTAAATCCAAGTACAAAATAATCAGAATCGTTAATATAACAGTAAATTTATAGCAGCTAGTTGTTCCATTGTTAAGAGAACCCATGCTTCAAATGGATGTTTGTTTGTCTGTATAGAAGAACTGGAGCATAGGCCAGAGATGTAGGTGGTTAGAAGATTCACCAGAGACAGAGAGGGGAGCAGAACAGGTGGATTGACTGAAATACACTGCTTAGGAGAATAGCAGGTGAGACAGGAGAGGTCTGCTGTATCACATGTGGGTTAGCTCCCTGGCTGGGGATCAAACTCAGACCATAGCAGTGATAGCTCTGAGACTTAACCGCTAGGCCACCAGGGAGGACCCCCCATGCTTCAAATTTATCATTCTTCCTAACAAGGTAAATTATTATTCATGTTAATGTCATCCAGAAGTAAAGAATTTGCCAAAAATAAATTTTCTATTTCTAAATATGCTAAATTAGTGATTCATAGCTTCCCTATTTGGAAAATAAAATACCTTGTTTCAAATGAAAATAAATTCTGATTGGCTACTTAAAAATTAAAAAATAAAAGATTATAATGCAAAATAAAAGAAGAAAAACCTTTAGCCACACTTCTGTGTAATTAGGTTGATAATATAGGTCAGATTTATCATGGATAGTTAGAACAATAATTAAGCAAATTCACCTGAAAAGAATAATTTTCAAGTCACTGAAACATAAGAATAAGCCAGTTAAAGGTTGTAATATAGCTAAAGAAATTAGACTTAATCAGAAAGACTGATGAGCTACAAAATCATGGTTTTTCACAAACATTGACAGTTTGTGTCAAGAAAAAATACTGTGTCAAGAAAGAAAATAGGAAAATTAGCCATCAGGCTTTCTGTTAACAAAATTCATTTCCATGTAGGTTTACATGGAGAAACAATAGGTTTTACCCAGGCTGATAGGATGATTCCAGTTCTTATCATAGATATAATAGTAAAGAAATGGCACTCTAATTTTTTACATTAATTTTAAGTGGTTCTCTTTTTTTTTTTATTTGAACCCAACTCTGGGCTGATTGAATAAGAATTTTAGGCCTGTCTAGCTAAGGTTCAGACCTGAGATACGGCAATTTCTTCAAAGTGCCTCTGCACCATAAGCCCTCTTTCCTGACAGACGTTAGCTATGTGATCTCCCCCTTGGCCTCATGTCTCTCCCTGTACTGTTAGTGTTACCCTCTCACAGACAATATAGTCATTAATTAATGGGTTAGCAGTTTTCAAGATGAGAATATATTTCCATTCTCTTTCCAGCAGAGCATGGTTAGTTTAAATTGCATGCCTTTCCAGAACATCAATTTCTTGACACAAATGGCCATTATATAATTTTTTATTATTCTTGTAGTACCTTTATGTGTGTGTGTTGTTTTTATAATGTACTAGGAGTATCCTGAAATTTAATTTGATTCACTGAGATAGTCTGGCAGCTTCTGCAGGGATGGAATGTAGTTCCTGAGGAAAAGACATGTCACCTTCTTCTGAGAAGATAAGAAAAGGATTTAAGTCCAATACCATCTGGTTCTAATGTGCTTCATTCATGTGTGGCCTTTAGAGATACTACGATGTAAGTCATCTTTGGTGCATATAATTCAAAAATTATTTAGTTCAATTCAGGACAAAGAGCATCTGTAGATAAATTAACTTTCCAAACCCCAATTACAGAGTGGGCTAATAAGCTATCAAAATGAAATTGTCATTGACAGCAGGACCTAGGAGAGGAAGAAAGGAAAAGGAATGAAAATGCTTAAGTTCATCTACTGAGAAGAAATGTACAGACAAGGAAATGAGTATAAGTAGTTAATTTCACACTCTTCTAAAAGACTTTGCTCTAAGAAGTTGATTTTTCAACTTTGCTTGAAGAACCATCTATACTTGTTTATAAACTCTCAGACCTAAGCCCAGACCAACTAAACCAATGTGTCTGGAAAGAAGCCTAGTAATCTGGCAATAGTGGCATATAGCAAGACCCCATATAATTCTTGCCAGGTAATTTCATGCATTGTTTGAAAAGAGAATGTTGAGTTATTAGCTGAGTAGATAACTCTATGTGCTTATTGTGATATTCTGAACTTTGAGAGTAGTAAGCTTCATTCCTAATAAGATAATAATACTATTGTTGGATTCAGAATAGGAACTGATTCATATGCTCAAAATAAAACATTAAGACTGCAGAATGTGGGGAAAGAGCTTGATTCAGTGGTAAATTTAGGTAAGGTGGTTATTACCAGTTGTAATTAATTCAAACAACAATGAAAATACTCCTTGATCCCTGCAATATGAAATGATGGTGCAAATCCTAACTTTTTCAACCACATTTTTATTATCATACAAAAGAAGTAGTGATATCCAATTTATAGATGCTTACTTGAAGAGGTGATATGGTAATTTAAATTATGTGTTTGAAGGTGCTGAATAAATGTAAGGGTTTATAAATACCAGGAAAAGAGAATGATGCTAAATGTTGATGTCAGGAGCATTCAATAAGGTGTTTTCTTATAAGGAGGTAAGGAAAGACTGCAATAGGAATGTAGAATGAAAAAACTATACATGCAGATAAATGATGTCAGATAATATAGCCACCTTTTGAGGCCTGGAGTTCACCTAACATTACATCTCCAGTTTCAGGAAGCCTAAAAGAGTATTTAAGTTATTTAGAGAGGAATTAGATAATGGGAAGTTAACAAAATAAGATTCAGAACATGGAAGAAAAATCAGTACCCACTTCTTGAACTGTGTGGAATAATGGGAACTCTCTGGAATTCAAAATCAAAATGTATGTATCTACAGTATGTATCTACAGTCAGAACAGAAAAAGCAACAATGAGCCATTCCTAAAATGTCAATTCCTCTTGGTCAATTCTGGCAATGTTGAGCCTACAAATGCAAACAAAATCCTAGCTGTAAAAAACGGAGAGATTCTGGAAGCTAAAGAGGTTTCTACATAAGTGCCAATAAACAAAACGAATGAGGCAGTGCTTATTCAACCACAAAATGGTGTTCAGGAAACATCTGCTACCAGCAAATGGGTCTATCCAGAGGCTTTAAACACTCATTGCTTTTTAGGTACCAGGGAATTGAGGTGCAACAATGGAACAATGTGTTTATCATTAGGCAATCGCTAAACACAGTGAAACTCAGATTTTTAAAAAACCTACTGACAAATAAAAATGGTGTCTGAGTTAAATAAACCACAGGTGAGCATGTTTTTACCCACCTAGCCCATGAACAGGTTACAGATACAGATGGGCACTGACACAGATGGTGTGCTATATCATTGATATTAAAAGGGGTTTTTCTAATTTCAAATTTAAAGAACATTCAGTTAACACCTACTATAGTAGGCACCATATGAGACCCTCCCATTGCATTTAATGTGCAAGTAATAAGAGAAGAATCAAAGTAATATGATGATCCCACCCCCAGAAAATGTCGTAAATCTCTAAGGGTTTTAATAATAGTAGTACTAGTAATTTTTTTACTAGCAATAACAATCAAGTAAAAAATTAAGTAAAAGTAACTAAGCAG